AGTTTGTAGCAAGTCTTGGACCTTTTCATGCTAGTCAACAAAATCATGTATGCCGGTAATTATCTTAGTCTTAGTAAACATCATGCTGAACCGATTGGATTGCTCCCATCGCTCATATAATGCGACCTTAGTTGGAGTACTAGTATTAGTGACTATGGGTGGTTCGTCTTTCCTAATAGTATAATCAATATCCATCCACTCTAAATGGAGGAGAATCCTCTCATTCCATATCTTATAGTTATCACCTATAAATTCGGGAATGTTACATCGAATATCAGAGAAATTAACAGTTTGAGAAACTACATAAAATCAAACATGTTTATATTAGGCTTAATATTCTAAATTACATAAACATGCCAAAAGATGAATTTTATGACATAAAAATTGTTTGTGGGCTAAATTTTTAATTCAAATAGTCTTTATGATAAAACTATTAAATTATATTCTAATTCATAATCCTTGTGAATAACAATTATATGAATATAATAAAAGATCTTGTTGGATAATAATTATTATATTAATATAATCAGTCACAATATTATGTCTAATTCGTTATGTGATTCTTATTTTAACTTTATATATAATTTTAATTAATTAAGGATGTAATGGTTAATCCCTGATTAATTAAGATTATATGAGTCCCTAGACATTTTGAACATATAAAATTGACTCATAAGCATGAATTAATATAACCAAATATTTATACATATGAGCATTTTATCGACTAAAAATACTGAAAATGTTATATTTACATGATTTTCAACATGAAATATATCAAAAAGTTTCAAAAAAATCAAAATTAAGCCATGGTATAAAAATAAAAACTCTTTCATATCAAAGCAAAGGTTAATCGCTCTAATACCAACTGTTAGAAATTTTAATACCAAAATATGTTTCTAAACCATTGTAATATAAACACAAGAAAACTAATGTGGAAACGAAAATTGCGTACCTCCGGCTATTATTATCAAGAATTTCAACAATAGTTTCTCTTTGTATTTTTGGCACTTCTCGACTCAGAACTCTTACTTTAGATGAGGTAGGAAATCCTTTAGACTTAGAGAGATATAGAGCCCAAGGACCAAAACCCTCGTTTATATAGACGTTCTCCCATCAAGAATATTTATTATCACCAACTACATAACGTTCAAGAATTAATTCAAATTTATAACGTTTGAATCATAATGAAGAATTTTAATAGTATTAAATAAAATATTTAATATTAACTATTATATTTAGAATAAAAATTAAAATATTTAAACTATAATAAATAAAATAAAAAGAATGATGAACTTAATGAGAATAGTTACACCATCCACGGGTAGGACATAACAAACAGATCAAAGCATCAACTTGAACTGCTCATACAAATAATATCAAATGAAAGAGATAGATGAGAGCATTGGGATGTGCTGAGATGATTTGCTCATATATTGAGTATTAGAAAATAGAATACATACGAGTGCATTGGGGTTTTTTGACTTAACTATCCATATAAGAACTGTTTGTCGGCTATTTGTCGGAGACATGTAAATGTGCCTATGTATGTTAATTTGAATAGCTTATGTGCAGAGTGTCTGATATAGGAGACACACAAGTTTGTCGAGACATATTGATTTAAATTATATGCGTGAGGGTATAATGCCAACTTCAACTTGAATTATCCACGTGGTGAGTGTAAGATATGCTAACTTGAATTACTTGTGATAGAGTATTTAACATAGAAGATGTGGACAAGGATTTAGAATATCACCTATGATCACATGATGTTTAGGGATGTCTAACGGATCTAGTAGAGTAGGGGAGTACCTTTCCATCCTTGTCCGTCTCATCCCTATCTCATTCTCCATTTAGACGAGATAGGGGTACGAATGAGGAATCCTTATTTAGGGTGGAAACTCATGAGTTCATATTCTCCTAACTAATTCATTATATTTAAAAAATTAAACTCTTAACAAAACTAATTAATAATATTAAAATATATAAATAATATTAATATTTATAAAATTTATATATTAAATAATATTTAAATATAAATAATAATATTTATTAATATAGTATCATCTGATTCAATCAAACTAAATAACTGATAATTAACTTTGAATCGATTCAAGCTCAGCCTCGACTGATTCGTTTAGCATTTAGACTCAACATATTGGTCCATATGTTATGGGGCAGGTAACTTTCTTTCCTATCCCATTCTCATTTATTTTTCATCAGGGACCGGCACCGAGTATAATTGACGCCTCTGAAGCCACGGAGCCGATACGGAGCAAAGCCACGGACACGACGTGAAGGGCAGCATAGCGTGGCCAGCAGTTGCGGCGGCAGAGAAGGAACCGGACATGGACAAAGCCGCTAACATGACGTTGAGTGAAGGCTACGTTGACTGAAGCCACATGCAAAGATTTGGCGTGACATCGAGCGAGGTTGCGGACACGACATGGAATGACGATGAAGCATGGGCAGTGGTTGCAGCAACCGTGACAATGGATGAAGCCACGTACACAATGTTGGACGAAGCCGTGGACACGACGTCAAACAAACCCAGGAGTTGAAACTGCGGTTGTGACATCAAGCGAGGCCACTGTATTTAGCAAAGTCGTGGATGCAACATCGACCGAATCTGCGAGTGAAGCTATGGACGTGACATCGAGCGAAGCGGTGACTGCAATGTCGAGCGAAACTTTGGGCGGCACCATGTGGGCAGTACTAGGAAGTATCGACGATGGGTGGCGGCATCAGATGCGGTTGTGAAGGTAGCCGCGATGGGCGACGGCGTCGGCAGCTGCCGTAGTGCCAGAAGCATTGACTGTGGTGGCAGCAACGATAGGCGTCGGCGTCGGCAAAGACAGTGGTGACATTGGCAGAGGCTGCGGTTGCAGCAGCGGAAGGTCACAACAACGGTGATGAGTAGTAATGCCATTCGAAGGCGTGTGTAGTTTGGACGGCGGCCGGTTAATTTAGACAGGTTGGGCTATCGTTGATCTATCCTTGGGGCCCTAGGCGGCGACAAATCGAGCAGCATGGCATGAGGAGTGCAGCATCAATACGTACCGGGACTGATCAAGCCATTGACTACGTGCCCTTGGTGTTGGCAGGGGGGAGAAACACTCCATCGCGACCATCTGAACCAGATCTGGCAAGAAGCGGTGACGCTCTGCTTGGGCGGCCATGACGGTGAGGAGGAGGCTGCAACCAGCCCCAAAGAGGGCTCGAAGCATGCTACAGCGGCCATGGATGTCAATAACTGTAATTTGGCCTGTCATCGGCGGTGACTAGCGATGGAGGTGCGACTGACTCCGCATCATGATCGACATGGAGGCACAACTTACTTGATGTTACGGATAACGTGATGATGCGACTATCTTGGCATTGCGACAGACTTGCATTGCGATAGACTTGGCATCGAGATTGATTTAAAGGCAGGACTAACTCAAGGACTTACCGACTCCATGGTGCTACCGATGGTGGCACCATGATTGGTTGGACTCATGACAGACTTGACGACATGGCTGACTTGAAGGTAGAGCAGACTTAGAGGCATGATTGAGTTGATCGCATAGCCGACTTGAATGTGTGATCAGCTTGATGGTGCAACCTACTTAACGATGCGATCGAGTCAGCTTTGCGACCAACTTGGAGGCATGATCGACTTGAAGGCATGGCAGACTTGGAGGCTTGGCTTCCTTGGCATCATGAGCGCCTTGGAGGCGCAACCGACTTTACATTGTGGTCGTCTTGACGACGTGGCTGATTTGGCATTTGGTTGTCCTGATGGTATATGGCCGACTTGACAGTGCAATTGTCTTAACAGTGTGGTTGAATTGATGATGTGAATCGAGTATAATGTCATTTTGACGGTGTGGCTGTCTTTGCAGCATGGCCAATTTCACGATCTAGTCATCTTAACGACACGGTTGACTTATCGGCATGACCATCTCGACAATGTGGCGACGTGATCATCTTGACATGGTTGACTTGAAAAATGATCGTTAATCTCATGAGAAAGTTGGCTCGACTTAGCCCACTTTTTGAATGTTGTCGCGCCTAAAAACTAAATGTCCCCTAAGTACATCTAAACTGGCTGCCCTTCCTCGACTCGCCTCCTTGAGAGCGGAATCCTACCGAGTAGAACAATTTTCGATCCAACAAAACTGTACTGGAAGCGTGTCTGGCAAGATCCTGCTTAATTCAGCAAAAAAAAAAGGAAACAGAAGAATGAATCTATCAGTGATTTGAATGCAGCAAGGTAAGTCCGTTAGAAGTGAATTAATCTTAATATGTTCATTTACAAGTGCCAAATCAATAAATGATACAGCAGAAATGTTGTTGCTTTTTATCCAAGACAAAATGAATACTCATCCAGAAGCTTCACAGGTAGTACAACGATGCTGAAAACATAAACAAGCTTCTCGAGTCACCTAAACTCAAAATTTCTGTCAGACTCTCTCCAAAGGGTTGAGCAAACCAATTATTCCTTCAACCTTTGGCTACAAAACAATGAGCATGGATGCTGATCGATGGCAGGTCTTTTTACTAGATGAAGATCGTTTCATGAAGAAGAAACTTGTTTTCTTGTCCTAAACTCTGAATTATGTCCTCCGAGTTATGATTTTGGTATAAATGTAATGAACATGTTAATTAGACAATTGCACATCGATTTCATTAGAAATCCTGTCAAGCACAGTCTTAGTAAACATCTTTAATTTCCATGTATCAACCCCTCAGAGTTCCATAATGTAGAACAGTGAAGATTCTTGTTTCTGTTGGATGAGACCTGTAAGCTAAGTCATTGATTTTTTTTGTGTTCTTACCCGAAGCAAAAGCAAGTTGGATTCCAAAACCCCTTTTGGGGGTAAGCTTATGAGGTGCCCAAGAAGTAGAAGTCCCTTGAGGCAAGACAAGGATGCAGAACGTGCAAGCCTTCCATGGGTCATTCAATTGCATGGAGAAGGCACCCTCAGACCTTCCCTATGCATGGAGAGGGGACAGAACAGGAGAGAGGGAATCAAGCCTCTTGTCCTCAAGCTTGCCATTCCCCTGGCCCTTCCCTTGGCTGGTTTCATCTTCTCTACCATCACTAGAAAGTGTAGAACACGAAACAGAGCCCCCTCCAGTGCTTCAAGCCGAGAGGGGAGCTTAACGATGGATTCCTCTGAATCCGTTTCCCTGTACGAGTCCGAGGATGAGGAGAGCTCACGAGGCCAGGAAGAAGCACAAAGAGAACTCGTGGAACACTGCGATCCCTCGGAAGTCGTGAGGGTGCAATGCCCAGAGAACTTGGAAGGAGAGATCGAGAGTCTGAAGTGTCTTGTATCTGCCATGGACGACAGAGCGAGCGAAGCCGAATCGCAGTTCCTGGACTACCGTGACGCGAAAGAGAAGGAATCGCTGTTTCAGAAGCTCCAGATCATGTGCTTGGGTTTCCAGCTCGAGTGCCTCGAAACCCGAAACCAGAGGCTCGAGGCCACCATTGCCGATCAACAGACAGCCTTGGAGAAGCTCGAGGAAATGAGAGCAGAGCACAAATGGCTTCGGAGGGAGGGGAAGAAGCTGGCCAAAGCAGATGGGCTTCATCTGCATGAAGCGCGACGGCAGGCTCGGATTCTAGGCGCTCGAGAAGCCGAGTTGTCGCAGATCAAAGAGGAGCTGCGATACGTCAAGGATTTAGCCGATCATCTGCAGGAGGAGAAGAAAGCATTGGATCAAAAGATGGACTCACTCGCAGCGAAATATCAATCTGCATCAGAGGTCACAATACTGCAGCCCTTCAGTAGTTACTGAGTACATCATATGCTTTGTCTGATACATTGTGTTCTTCTCTCTCATGCACATAGATTGAAGAAGATGGCAACATGAGGATGGCATCCAACAAGGAATTTCTCGATCAACTAGAGCAGTTCCGGCATCAGTGGTACCTGGAGATGGAGGAGCTCATCTATATAGGCTGGGTGGGTGCATGCTTAAGGCATGAGCCCTTGATGGATCAAGAAGAACAACTGCAGGAGATCATGGAGCTCCCAGCAGATGATGAGGCCGAGGCGCGCAAGGTGGAACTCCATGATTCCTCAGCAATTGCAGAGACTGGCCATGGAGCTTGCTTGGATGCTGCAGCAAGGAAGAATCAATCAGGTTCGAAGAAGCCAAGATTGCTGCACAAGCTCAAAGGATGGGCCAAGGGAGGAAAGGGGGTGTCGAAACAGCTTCGAGATTCGTGAGGATTCAGCAAGGGGTAAGATCGAACAAGGTTATTATTATTATTATTATTATTATATGTAGTTCATGAAAGTATTATTTTGGTTAGATTCTATTGAAATGTTTCCTCGATGAAAAACATTTCATTGAATCATTGACTTTTAGATTAAATGGTCAAAAGATCTATCCTATTTGTAAAAGTTTTTGACCAGAGTTCTTCTATTTGATAATCAAGTTGTAACTTTTACAAATTAATGAGTTATCACATACTTAGTTGGTTTTATCTAAGTTGTATAACACCCTTAACTCTGCAAGAATTTATATCTTTAACTTATGTCTAAGGAAAACTTTGTCTCTACATTTCATGTTTTGTCTTCTATGTCGACTCTCTTCATGCGACTTGGGCACTTCATTAAATTCCATCCAAGTTGCTTTGCTCCTCAGTTTGCATTGAGTTGAAGGTGAACTTTAAATGTGCCTTCGTTTGATGTTGCGTTGAGTTGCTCCTCCACTTGATCTCATAATGCGTCTACCAATGTATTACCTCATGCGAGATCATGCGAAGACTCCTTATCACTCGTTTGGTCTATTGAGCTTTGTGGAGTTATTATCATGTACCACTCAACATATATGATCTATTGCACATGATTCTCCCCCTAGAAAACTAAGACATATCTCTTCTAGATATCTATCTTATTAGAACAACTTCTTCTCTCATGCACATAGATTGGAGAACCGAAGACCATCATCCCTTTGGACTACTCTACCTTGCTAAATAAATTATGTACTATTCTACCCTCGGAACTTGGAGCTTGCTAGAGAAGCTCATCGGAACTCGTTAAGAAGATCGTCATGAAGTCCAGGAGCTTGCCGAGAGTCCGTTAGAATATTACCGAGAGATCGTCAGAAGTTCGCCAGAAGATCGTCGGAAGTTCGCCAGAAGATCGTCGGAAGCTCGTTGGAAGAAACTAGACTTACAGACTTGTTTAGCTTAGTAAATGTCTTAGATTTTATAGTTAGCACGTAATTTAGATTGGAATTGGGCCAACCCAATTATGGATCAGTTGGGCCCATGTAAGAACTACGTTGAGCCCAATGAGAGGCCTAAACAGTGATATAAGAAGTGGCACCGTCATGGCACAGTCTTCGAGATTATGTTAGGCGGTGGTACCGCCAGTTTTGGTGGTGGTATCGCCCCTGGCAGGGTGCCAGGTGATGGTACCACTAGTATAGATGGTAGTACCGCATAGTGGCCCAGTGCTAGGCGGTGGTACCGCTCAACGTAGTGTTAGTATTAGACTGACACTGGCGGTGGTACCGCCCGGACCCAAGAAACCCGGGATGAGATGTTTTTAGGCTCCAAGTTTGAATCAACTTGAGGCCTATAAATACCCCTCTCATTCCTAGTTAAAGTATACAAGCACAGAGAATTTAAAAAGAGAAAAACGCTATTGTAATTTCTTGTGAGAATCCTCATCTTCAAAGTTCCAAGTGTTAGAATAGTTTGAAAGAGGAATGAGTGCTTGTAAGGGTTATCTCCTAAACTTGGTAAAAGGAGAAGAAGGGTATAAGAAGGAGGTTGATCTTCGCCTATTAAAGATAGATCGATAGTGGATGCCGGTGGCTTTGACGGAAGAGGAATCGGCGGAGTGAATGTAGGTCAAGACGATCGAACCACTATAAAATTGGCGTGTTCTTTGGTTTGCATTTCTATTGTTGCCATTTACTTTACTACAGACCATTTTACTTACTTACTGCCTTTAATACATTTACGAACACGTGTTTTATGTTAAGTTTCTGAAATCAGCTTTTATCGTATGAAAATTTTTTTCGGAATCGACGTATTTTATCGCTGCACTAATTCACCCCCCCTCTTAGTGTTGACTCTTTTCCTAACAATTGGTATCAGAGCCCCGTTTTCTCATTTGGTTTAATACCTAAAGAGAAATGGTTCTTTTTGGCTTTCAAGAGGGTCACTCTTTCATTCGTCCTCCCTTTTTCAATGGGATGGACTATACTTATTGGAAAACTCGAATAAGAGTTTTCTTGGTTTTATTGAATCTCGATTTATAGCACATAGTCAAATTTGATTTTCAAAAGTCTTCTTTTCCAATGAACCATTGGAATGATTTGGAGAAGAAGATTTTTTCTCTAAATGTAAAGGCTATAAATGTCTTGTTTTGCGCCTTAGATAAAATTGAGTTTAATCGGGTTTCTACTTGTGAAACAGCCTTTGACATTTGCAATACTCTTGAAATCACATATGAAGGCACTAGCAAAGTTAAAGATTTGAAAATTAACTTTTTGATGCATGATTTTGAGTTGTTTTGTATGGAACCAAGAGAGACTATTGGAGACATGTACACCCATTTTACGGATGTCATCAATAGTCTAAAAGGACTTGGTAAAAGTTTTTCGAATCTTGAACTTGTGAATAAAGTTTTACGCTCACTCTCTAAAACTTGGGATTCAAAAGTAACGGCTATTCAAAAATAAAAAAAACTTGAACTATTTCCCTCTCTAAAAACTTATAGGGTCTTTAATGACCTATAAAATGACGTGCAATGCATGTGAAGAACTCAAGAACAACCTTCCAAAGAACAGAAAGGATTTGGCACTTAGAACACATGAAGACTACTCGAGCATAAGCTCAAGTGATAGTGAACTTGAACTACTCATGAAATTTAAAAAGTTAATTAAACAAAAATTAAAGAATAAAAAGAATGCAACTACTTGCTATGAATGCAAGAAGAAAGCAATCTTGGACGAATCAAACTCATTCGAAGACGAGGAGAAAATCAATAAAGGCAAGATGGCAAATTACGCCTTAATAGCTTTCGATTATGAGGTAATCAAAATACCTTTAATTTATTTCAAAATTACATGATGCTTTTCATGAGTTACTTTTAATTTAGTTTAAAATAATTATTTTTCTTAAAAATTACATGTTTAAAAATGAAAATGCAAAAATTATGATCATGCTAGTAATTTTGAAAATGATAATGAAAATTACATGTTTTATGTTAATATAATAAAATGTTAGATTTAAATCTAATGATGATCCTATGAATATTTTTCAAGAAGAAAAAATGTGTATCTTGATGATTTCCGATTTTGATTGAAATCATGCTTGATGTCTTAATGAAAATATTAAGAAGTTTAATAGCATGCTTAATGATGATGCATGGCTTTTGTATTGAAAACTAAGCTTGAAAATTTAGATTCACCTAAAAAGAAAAATGCATGACTACAACAAACAAAATGATCTTGATGGAAAATGCTTTATGTTTGATGAAATCAATTTTGATGATACATAATGAAGTAATTATGTAAAAAATATATTAAATATTTTGAAACCATATTTTGATGTCATGCATAATGATCATGCTTAATAAATTTTGAAATTATGCATGATGATTCTTAAGATTTATGGATTATCAATTTTTATGGTAATGAAAGTGGCTTTTTCGATTTTTAAACGTTGATGCATGTTTTTGGCATAAATAAAAAAGACATACTTCTATGAAATAAATCACATAAATTAAAACAACTAAAAAGAGAAAAAAATATTTTTCTTAAATTTTTTTCTTCTCTATCTTATCAATTTTTCACTAAGAGATTGATAAAGTTGTTTATGTCATTTTGAATCTCTTGAAAGTGATTTTGATTATTTGAATGAGTTTCATCTAACCATGATTTTTATCTTGATTTCTCGGAATTATAACTTAAAAATTCTTTTTATAAATCAAGATTATCTACTATGATTCTTTCTTTTCACTATTTGAGTTATTAAAAAAGAATCATAATATGTCTCTTGATATTCATAATTTATCTTTATTATTTATGCATCTCATCACCAAAATTCTCTCGATATTTTTCATGTGATTATGCATGAAAACTCTTGATATTATTTTGATGTATACATATGTGAAGTTATGATCATGCATGATAGGAGATAATGTAATTTGACTTTTTAATACCATCATGATTTGAAATATTTATGATTTGTATATCGCATGATATGATTGAATCATTATTGTAAAAGAAAAAGGAGATTATTAGCTTGCACATTGCAAAAGAGAACAAAAAATATATGCTAGCTTGAATGATAAACATGAGATTATGTTTATAATGCAAATTTATTGTTCTCATGATGTAAAAATTGATGTAAAGGGAAAAGAGCTACAAAATTATATTCTTTCCCTCTTTTTACTAATGACAAAGCGGGAGAAGAGTTGCTAATATGCACATCTCAAAGAGAAAGATGATAGCTTGCACAATTCAAGAATGAAGCAAAATTTGCTAACTTACGCATCGCAAAGAAAAGCAACAGTTGCTAGTTTGCACATCATAAAGAGAAGCAAAAAGCTTTCTTATCTCAAAAGATGTAAAACTTTGCCAACTTTCATATGTGTAAAATTTGCTAGCTCACAAATTGTAAGGAGAAAAACTTGCAACTTGCACAATGCAAAAGAAAAGCAAACATGCTAAACTTGCACATCTCTAATTACTGTTAGCTTGCATGATGTAGAACTTGCTATCTTGCTAGCTTGCATGATGATAAAATTGTTTGTTATGCAATGATTTAAAATTATGTCTAAACACTTGCTTAGATGATGCACTTCTCCTTTTTGTTGATGACAAAGGGGGAGAAGTATGATGTTATGCATAAGTTTTATGATAACATGTTGCTTGGATTTTTGAATCCAAGCATTCTACCAATATGGTATATTGATAGGGAGAGTTTATTTAAACTCCGACATCAATTGGTTATCATCATCAAAAAGGGGAGATTTTTGAATCTCAGATTTTGATGATGAAACCAATTGATAAGTGTTTATGATTTGATCTGCATTTTGAGTAATGCAGGATGTTTCGATCAGGATGAGACAATTAAAGCAGGAAGAATCATGTTGGGCCGGAGGAAAACATGTCAGAAGATTGGACGTCGGGCCGGAGGATCGGTCGACGTATCGACAGAAGGCTTTGGGCCATGGATTCGGGCATCAGGCCAAAAGAACGGATATTGCGCCAAGGATATCGAAGTAACGGAGGTCAACTG